CCCCCCCCCACCTCTCCTCCCCCATAAAAATCACAGCCTTTTTTCCATGAGAAGTCAGCAGGGCTTCCCTTGGCCAGTTCAGTTCTACACAGCCCCAAGGGGCCTAGTTGAGCACAAAAAAAGCCAAAACAACATTACGTAATCTTTAAAGGAGAATCTGTGCTGGAGTTGGGGTTGTTTTCTGAGGCTGTTGCTCACATCTATGCCCCATGGGTTTCACGAGGCAGGTGACATGCATACTGTAAACTCAACTCCTGATCAGCCTCATGTTGCCCTTGAGTTCTGCCTCTCAGTCCTGGTCATCAGCCCTGTGGAAACCCATGTCTGGGCAGGCATAAACATCTCAGATAAAGAGCCAGGATGTGGCTTCCAAAATTTGTATGTATGTTCACATTTACGTGCCAGGTTCCATTACAGTCAGGGCAGGGACAGCCCATGATATGCATATGTACACACAGAACAAGTGCTTGAGGGGTTTGCTGTGCAAAAAATGACATTTGTTAGCTGCAGCTGAAGGGCTATCACTACACTGCTGAAGCAGCAGCCTTCCCCCTCATCCAAAGTGGCCATGGAGGTGAAATTGGCAGCAGTCTTTTTTTTGTTGTTGTTACAATGAGGAAGAGGTTGTGATCTTTTCTTCTCTCTCCAACTTCTCCTTTCCCAAAAGATGGAAACACCCCAGAACCATTTATTACAATTTTGCAGTAGTTTCCTCTCTTCTAGAGTTTGAGGGTAGGGGAATATCTGGCATTTGCACTCTCACACTGCCTTTGAGTGGGTTACTGTCTTTACTTCTATCCCAAGCCAAGCCTCTGGGCTGAATCACAGAATTGTAGAACCAATGATTAGATATGGCTGCCCAGGACCCCATCCAACCCGGCCTTAAATGCCTCCAGGATTTGGGCATCCACAGCTTTTCTGGGCAGCCTGAACCAGTGCCTCCCCACCCTCTGAGTAAACAATTTCCTCCTAACATCTAGCCCAAATCTCCTCTCTTTTAGTTTAAAACTATTCCTCCTTGTCCTATCACTGTCAGACCATGTAAAATGTCAGTTTGTCTCCTGCTTGTAAGCTCCCTTCAACTACTGGAAGACTGCAATGAGGCTCCACAGGAGGGCTTTCTCTTCTCCAAGCTGAACCAGCCCAAATTCCTCAACCTTTTTTCATAGGAGAGGTGTTCCAGCCCTCCAGTCATCTTAGTGGCCCTCCTCTGGATCTGCTTCAACAACTCCACATCTTTTATGTGTTGGAAGGGAAGAAGGGAGATCATGAAACAAAAGTGTCTTGGTGAGTGGCCTACCAGATGAGCTGGATTTTACTGAGCCATCCTGGGCACCTCAGTCCTTCTTCCACCACATGGCCAGTTTGCAGGACATTTATGATGGAAATGGCACGTTGAGTCCAGGACTCTCTGCTCAGCAGACTTCCTGGACATTTGTAAGAAGCTAGCTGAGTGCTTGGGCAGAAGCAGTCTTGTCCAAAGAGGTTGCATGGTATTGAAGATGGTTAGCATGCAGACTGCTATTGCCTGCAGCAGGCTTTGTACCAGCATCATTACACCTCTGGGTATAAAATGAAGGAGGAATCCGGTCCCATTGCTAGGCTGATTTTTTGTAAATGACAAGATTGATTCCTGTGTTTGGCACATAACTCTGATTTCTCTTAGCAGCGATGTTCTGGCAAGGCAGAAAATTCTAGAGGACTTCTCGTAACTAGGGACTGGTGTACCACTTTTCCATCTGTTCCAACTATAACTGCTCTATTACTCAGCTGTGAAAAGAGCATCACTCCAGTTATTATTAGCTGGTTTTCTTGGCAGATGAGACAGAGCAGATAATCTTATTTTCATGAATAAAGCAGAACAGATCTGCAAGATTCTGCAGCCAGTTAAACATTGTCACACATGCACACTTGGAATCATCAGAGTCATAGGATTGTTCAGGTTGGAAAAGACCTTCAGGATCATCAAGTCCAACCTCAACCTAACCATACTACCTTAATAGCCCACTGCTAAATCATGTCCCTGAGCACCACATGCAGTGTCTCTCTCTATACTGTATACTCCCTATTATGTACTGCGAGATTGGCTGCTCTTAAAGAACTCACAGAGATTATGCCATATATTTAATTAGCAATCTTAAAGCTATCTAAGCATCCTATTAAGTAAAATGTGCATGAAGAAGTTCACTCTAATCTCTTATGAATTGTCTCAGTCACAAAATAAAGATGATGAACAAGGCAGAAGAGCGCATCTTACCTTCGGGAGAAATAAATGCGTGTCTGCCCTTTAAAGCCCATCAAAACTAATGCCTCCACATAAATTTCATTTGTATGGCTCGGGATAACTTGCAGAACATGGCTGTATTTTCCTGTAGTGTTCTGTTGCTACCAGTGTGTTTCATCTTTAAACTCTCAATGTATATTTTTTTCTACATAAAGACGCCTAAAGAAATTGTATACAGCATCTTGGGTGGGGAGAGCAGCACCCTATGGTCCTGCTGTGGACAGGCTGTACTGACTTGCAGGAGCCCTGGCTGCCTTGGGAGGCCCAGTGCTGCTACTGGGCAGGTTTTGGTAGGAATGACTCTGAAACAGAGGGAAAATGGACCCTCTTTTCTGAGCCCAAGTTGCTCAGAGCTCTTTGGAATGAACACACTGCAGCTGTTGTGAAGATCCAAGACCTGACCTGTATACACAGTTCCTGAGCTGCCAATCCCACAAAATCACTGCTCCCCACTGCAGCCAGTGAAAAAGGCAGTTACAAAACCACGTGAAATAATAACAAACAAAAAGAGAAATCACTCTGCCCACCACTGATCTCTAATTTTCTTCGCATCTTGCAGAAGATGGTGTGCAGTGGCCTCGCTGCACTCAGTGGCTGTCTCTCTGTGAAAAGCACCAAAAGCTGATGTTCTCCAGTTACACCTGGAACTAGGGTGAAGAGAGAAGTGCAGGTTAGTCGGGGCATGGTAGCTGTTAAAACAAGGTACAACGGGTGAGTGGGATGGCCTGAAGGTTTGTCAGGCTGAAACTTGATTGGCTTTCAGATGGATGGGATGAAGCCTGAGGCAACACTGGGCCTTGGGAAAGCAAAACTTGACTTTTCAGAATAAAAATGAAGTTTTAACACATGAAAGACATAGATAAGG